ACAGGAACCCTTCGATCATTCACCCGCTTCCAGCAAATGACCTTGCTCATGCTCGTCTCCGTAGAAATCGGTCGTGAAAAGACTAAAAGTCCCCGCTTCAAATAAAACCGAGTGCCTCTACAGACCTAACGTCAAGTCCCATTCCTGTCAGATGTGAAGTTGAAGGTTTCGGCTGGAAACCCGAGGCTTTGCAGTTGCATTCTCGTCAGAGACAAAACAAATAATCATCAGTGACGAGCAAAGCAAGAATGAAACAAATTCCAAGAGCTTCTAACCGACCACTACACACCAGTTTACCAAGAATGACAATGTAAAAAACGAAAGATTATTCAACACAATCTCCACATAATGAGATTAGCACACAGACCCTGGAGTCTTGGAATGCTCGTGGGTTACTTTGAGGAAAATATCTAATGAAATACCTGTGTAAATGCTAGATGCGATACGCCGAAAACAATTTTCTTTACAGTTTCAACCTCCTAATTCTTCAACGGGATATTCTGATAATTAATAATCACTCACTGAGCGAAGTAAAATCAGGTTTCTTCATTGGTTGCTGTTTTCTCTGAGTTTATCATCAATGGAACTTTGTAACCAAATGGAAACTACGGCAACACTCGTAGCGACCCGCGGGATATCAGGGATAGATTTAGTTGGGTGAATGCCCACTGTTGTGATCCTCGTGATAGCAAGCTTCTGAAAAAACCGGCTTTATTTATCATCACAGTTTGCTTTGTCAAAACAAGCACAGCAACTGGTAAAGATGTCAGTTTCTATTTCTTACTTTCTCTGCAGCTCCAGCAGTATTAGGCCTGATATCTGTTTCCGACTTCCCCTCCCTGTTCAGTACGTTAGTGCTAGTTATTAAGGTTCTTTTGTGTCATGTGAACCATATTGGAGTTTTCTTCATTAAGCTTTGTCACGTGTGTATTGCAATATCCAATTTATTGCAGTTTATAAGCAAAAGAACAAACACGTATCTGCAATGGGTGATGTCAAACTCCCGCCGAACAGCATTATAGATAAATACTTCATGTGTACGACTCCTCTGGTCCTCATTCTCATCTCGCATTGGGCTCCACCTCACTCCATCTCACTAGTCTCCATTGGTATCATGTTCATACAGGCGAGATGCGACAAATTTACTCAGTGAGATGTGGGGTTGAGGATGAGTAGCGTGCGGCTGTTCATGGGCGTTTACCATTGCTGACCATTCTAGGAGTATAATTGCCCTTTGATCAGAAGTGTCGACGAAACAGATATGTCATCACTCGATTGGGATGTCGGACGGTCGGTCGGTCGGTCGGTCGACAGTTCAATGTCCGTGATGAATAACTGACAGAGGATGTTTTGCGGAGGACAGTACAAGACTTGTGAATGACAGAACTGTTGGGATTTTTTCTCTCCAATACTTAACTGAAATGTAATTCACAACTTTCCTTTGCATGTACACTCCACTAAGTAGACCAGGAGAAATTTATATGGGGGAAAGTGCGCATCAGTGGAAAAAGTTATAAAGAAAATGAGCACACACACACTAACCTATTTTTTTCTAAAGTTACCCATAAGGTTTATCTTAGCTGTTTTCTTTGTGCCCTTTGACCATGGAACCCGAAGAGGGTTGGGAGAGAAAAGATCATTGTTCGTAAAAACGATTCGAATTTCCTGAAAATCTTATAGCTCTTACCAAGAGATTGGAGATAGAAATGTGAAAAATTCTAATGTCATATTTAACCAAAGGTTTCTTTGACGATTTATTAACGCAGTTTGATCACATTTCGGTGGACAACTTTCGGATGAACCCGTCCGAACATTGATCATTTCACACGTGATTCTGTTGTAAATAGCTTATTTCTTTTGCATTTGCTTGGCAAACTAATCGCCTGCATATGCATACTATAGTGGAAGGCCAGCACACGTGTCCGTTTTTTTAAATAAGTAGACTGTCATTCACGCAAGGTAGTTGTCATTTTATAACTAACACCAGCGAGGTCAAATCACACAGCAGATTCTCAACTCAATCATGAAATCACAAACTTCCCCATACATGCACATTATATGACGGTATTGACCAAAATTGTGTAACATCCTGATTTTAATCACATTTTTTCTTCTCAATGCTTCATTTTTCCAGCCTCATTCACGGTATTGAATGTGATATTACCCCATATCACACGCAACATATCTGGCGTAATACCCACTGATGCCGTTCCTTCTACTAGCCACA